AGATAGGTACTTAATTTAATACTTAACTGATAATTTTTAGTATAAATTAAAATGACAAAATTACTTTCCTACTATAAGTTGTTTTGATTAATTGACTTTTTCTTATTTCAACTTTTAAGTTTCAAAATCTGAATTAATTTTTGATAATTTTGTCTAATTTAATATGAGACCATAATAGTATAATAAGAGACTCAAACATAATTTATTTTACTTTTAAATTTTAATCTAAACTAGACATTAAAAAATAGTATTTTTGATGGTTTAAAAGACAAAATGTATAAACTTATTTTTCGTGTAAAATTCAATATAATAAAAAATTTAAATTACCTTACAAACAATTGAATTCTGGATTTAAAAAACAGGTTGACTGATTATATTAAATATATTTTATATTATAAAAATGAAATAAATATGTCAAGTTATTTATTATTTAATATTAGAATCTAAAATAATAATCACTTATAACCTTAAGTCTTAACACTAAAAACTAAAGAAACTCTAAAATATTGTACTCAGTCTCTCATAATATATTATAATATTATGGGATATTCACATACATCAATTTATATTGCTTACATTACCTATAAACAAATAAACAGAAAACTATAAAGACCRAAATGCAGTAATAGTAATTGTTTTGAGTTAGTACTTAGTATCTKATGGTGGAAATAAGATTACTAAAATTGTTTAGAAAACTATAATATGCATTTACAAATTTACAATTGAAACAGTTATAATGTAATATACTAATATATTGTAWACTAATTACAAATCAAACAAAACATACATTTTATGCCAAATAAATAATTCGATAGTGTTATCCGAATGTTCAATACAAATAACTGTATTCAATCGAGCATTCGTGCACTTGATTATTCGATAGCTTATAATAAGATTAAACGAACTACGGACGTTGCGAATGGAGATATTACAAATTATTCGTAATCGCCCATTATTCCTATTTTTAATTTTATTATTATGAAAAACTATTCAGAAATTCAATTAAATATGTATATGTATACGGTATACCATTTGACCATTATAATATTAATTATTAGCCCTTGTCACAATCTGATAACAATTTATACGAGTGTGTATTTTGATCGTATTGATAATCATTTTATTATAGACATCATTCATCAACATTACCAGGCATTGTATCTAAAACTATTTATAAATTATAAAATATAAGGAAATAATCATAATGACATGCTTTACAAATCAGCGGGCGAATAA